AGAGGAGAACATTTGGTTGAATTGAAGCCAGCCTTTGATGGGATTGGAGAATAATTATTTCCATCAATAATTACTTCCAAGCCCAGAAGAAATGGTTCCTAGTGCGTTGCAGGACAGGAGTCCTTGGTTGCCTCAAGGCCAATATGTTTTAACCCCAGGACCTGAAAACCTCATGAGTGGGAGCGGGGCCTGGGGTGAGAGGGACATCGCCCGCCGGGGCCGGGTCCCTCCCGCAAGGCAGCAGTGCCCCAGCGTGCTGCCAGCCTGGGGAGGAACCCTCCCGCCTCTGCTGCTGGAGCTGAGCCAGCCCGGGCTTTGCACAGGTCATTAATTTGGGGACATTTTTAATGGATCCTAATGATTGAGCCTCGGAAGACTGTTCTTAAAAGGGGTTTGGGAAAGACCACAAGCTAATTAGCTCGCACAAAGAAAGCAATTAACCGTGTAGCTTCCCGGATGGTTAAAAATAACATAGATGTTGGGAAGCGACTGGGGGATTTATTACAAGCAGAGTAATAGATTTTTCAAGCCAGAGGGACCATCAGATGAGCCCGTGTCACCTCCTGCATGTCCTGGGCCAGAAATATTTCACCTGGCTTCCTCCCATTGACCCCTGTTGCTTGTATTTGGCTGATGCACATCCTTAAATGTTCAGGGATTACAAAATGGGCTCCAAGAAAAAAGCTATTAGAGAAAGTGGGGGGTTGCTGAGAGAGAAAACACAGGTGGAAAGAGAGGGGTGACCCTTCTGGAGGTTCTCCTGTGCCAACTCCAGCCCCAAAAAGCATTGCTCTTGGTTGAGGCACAGCAGCAGGGTGTTCCCTGGGACATGCAAACCTCTGGCCACGCCTAGCCAAGGCTAACATGCCATTTTAGCATCCCATTGCTCTTTCACCACCCTCTTGGCCCCATTTAACCCCCCAGATGTGCAGCATGCACCTGGCCTTGGCCCTTTGCTCCTGACCCCACAGCCCACATCTGATGGTTGTGACGATCTCTGCAGCCAAAGCACCCTCCTGGCATCTCTGAGCCACTGCGGCTGCGGGGCTGGCAGGGGGACAGCCCAGCCTCCCCCTGCACCAGGGTTGGGGTCCACATGGCCCGGGGGCTTCGGCGGGCTGCTTTCTGAAGAGAGGAGGTAGGTGGGGTGGCAGACATGGCGGTGGGACCTTGCAGAGCTGACCTGGGGTTCACAGAATCATAGAATGCTTTGGGATGGAAGGGACCTTTAAAGGCCATCTAGTCCAAGCCCCCTACAACGGGCAGGGACATCTTCAACCAGATCAGGTTGCTCAGAGCCCCATCCAGCCTGGCCTTGAATGTGGCCAAGGATGGGGCATCTACCACCTCTCTGGGCAACTCGTTCCAGTTTAGCCAGGGATGGCTAAACCCAAAGCAGCACCCACACTCCGTTCCTGGGATTGGCTTCAAAATGATAATGGGAAGAAATGGGGACGCTTTGGCTGCCAGCTGAGCCCAGCCCACCGTGGGTACCACCCCATGGCCAGGTCAGGCTTGGACATGCTGATGCTTGCTTTATTTATTCGAATAATACTCTGGATGACATCAAAAACATAGTGTTCTTGGCGCCCCTGCGGAGTATGGTTTATGGCTTTCCATTAATCGTTCTGTTCTTTGAAAGAAACATCTGCGGGGCCTGGAAACCCATTTACTTTCCTCCCAAGTGTCTGAGCTCAGGCTTGTTTGGGTTTGTTTTCTCCAATTGACTTCTTTTCTCCATTTGAGCTTGCCCTGCCCAAGCCCCAGTGTTCCTTGGAGACCCCTCACCCCAAGCTTTCCTTCCCCTAGCTTTGCTCCTCACCAACTCTCATGGTCTCCCCAGGGCTCTTGCAGGCACCTGCCTGGCCCAGGTGGTTCCCCTTAGCTCTGCTGGGCTGCCCCAGGTTCTCCAGTTTGGGCTTTCATCAGGATCAGGTGTGTTTACTGGCCCAGCACCCTATTTGTAGGAGCGGGGAAGAAGGCTGTCCTCTGGCTGCCAAAGCTTTGCTTCTACCTGAGTGCTGGTGAGGGGGATAGGATGAGGCTGGGTGGTGAGGTATTGGCAATGCTAATAGCAGGTTTGGGGAATGGTGTTTGAAATGCAAAAGCTTTATTTCTACCAGAGCACAAGATCACAAGTCTTATGAGGAGCGGCTGAGGGAGCTGGGGTTGTTTAGTCTGGAGAAGAGGAGGCTGAGGGGAGACCTTATTGCTCTCTACAACTACCTGAAAGGAGGTTGTAGCAAGGTGGGGGTCGGTCTCTTCTCCCTAGTAACGAGTGATAGGATGAGAGGAAATGGCCTCAAGCTGCGCCAGGGCAGGTTTAGGTTGGATATGAGGAAAAACTTTTTCACCAAAAGGGTGGTCAAGCATTGGAACGGGCTGCCCAGGGAAGTGGTTGAGTCTCCATCCCTGGAGGTATTTAAAGAACGGATAGATGTGGCTCGAGGACGGCAAAAGCTTTATTTCTACCAGAGCACAAGATCACAAGTCTTATGAGGAGCGGCTGAGGGAGCTGGGGTTGTTTAGTCTGGAGAAGAGGAGGCTGAGGGGAGACCTTATTGCTCTCTACAACTACCTGAAAGGAGGTTGTAGCAAGGTGGGGGTCGGTCTCTTCTCCCTAGTAACGAGTGATAGGATGAGAGGAAATGGCCTCAAGCTGCGCCAGGGCAGGTTTAGGTTGGATATGAGGAAAAACTTTTTCACCAAAAGGGTGGTCAAGCATTGGAACGGGCTGCCCAGGGAAGTGGTTGAGTCTCCATCCCTGGAGGTATTTAAAGAACGGATAGATGTGGTGCTCGAGGACGTGGTATAGATGGACTTGGCAGTGATAGGTTAACGGTTGGACTTGATGATCTTAAGGGTCTTTTCCAACCTTGACGATTCTATGATTCTGTGATCAGTGCTGTCTCTGCAGAGCTGGTGAGCTAAAACCCACAACGTAGAGGAAGATGTCCAGGGGTGCTGCTCTGATTCGCTACCATTGCCCCTTGCTGTTGCATTGGATCTGGACCCTGGGCTGTCCCTGCAGTACGGGGCTGCCCAGCTGCTCCTTGGCTTCGTGACACTTGGGGCATCTCTGCTTGAAAGCCAAGCACAGCATGTCCACACTAGGATACCGCTTGGCTTGGAAATGGGGGCTTTCCAGAGCCTCGTAGGAGCATTTCCAGCTGCAGGGCTGAGCACCGCAGGCTCAACCTGCAGCTTTCCTTCACAGCAGCACAGGTCCTACCTCCGGAAAGGAAATGACATTCCCCGGTTCATAGGAAACCTTCAGCCAAGAGCCCAGCTGAACAGACGGTTTTTATCACTCTCTTTCTCTCCTCTGCTCCCACAGCGGGACACTCAGCTGCCTGCCGTACCCCACGGAGGACAGACGTCCCGAAAAGCTGAGCGGTCGCGCGGTCAAGGAGGCCTCCACCACCAACGGCTGGGCGAAAGGGAAGGAGAGACGAGACCATGCTCGCCGCAGGTCATGCAGGTAGGAGCCGGGGCTGTGAGCGGGGTCGCCCCGAAGCAGGGGGATGGCAGAGGAGGCGGCTGTGACTGTTTACCCAGCCCCTCCGGGGGTCTGCGAGAGCTGGGGATGGGTTAAATGGCCATGTGAGCGTACAGCAAATGTACGCAATAGTACGAAAGCCCCGTCCATGTTTGCAGGGAGAAACCTGCAAACCTGTAGTTCACTTCCACTCCACATCTTGCTCTTGCAGCCTTTTTGCAAGTAGGGAGACAGGTGACCTGCCAGCATCCTTGGGTGCTACTGGGTCTGCAGGGTACCCCTGGCTGGGCATCGCTCTCAGCAATTCCCCTCTGCCTACACCTAGATCAGACCAGCAGCATTGGCTTCGTTAGGACATGGCTTCATTATCAGTTCATCATTAGCCCCTGACAACTTAAGGGGGGAAGAATGAATCGAATGTTGTAAATGAAGCAGCTAGGGTCTCAGAGCCCTGCCTGCTAAACCGTCTCTGGGATTAAGGCCGCTCTGGTTAAAGATGCTGGAAAGAAAGTACAAGAGAGCACATTTCATATCTTCAGATTTCAGGCTAACCGGAACAATAATCTAAAGTGTATTTTTAATTAGACTTTGATCATAATCACAGAGAAACAATTAAAATCAGATCAGTGCTGGGAGAAAGCTTCCACATCAAAGACGAAAGGCTTTATCTTGTGAGACGGAGAAGGGCTCTCCAGAAAGCGCCTGCAGCCGCACGGCACGGTCAGAGGCTTCTCCCCGCTCTCCCTTGGCCGTGGCAGTGCCTGGCCGCAGCCCTGGGCAATGGGGTGCTGAGATGCACCCAGACCTGTTTGCCGGGGAGCCCAAATCTCTGCTAGGGGAAAGCACGTGGGAGCTGGGATTGGGCATCCAGATAACTGAGGGCTGAGATGGGTGTTCAGGTCCCTGGTCTAGCACAGACCCTTAGGGTGGCTCGGGGCAGATGTCTGAGCTTAGCAACAACGAGAGCTGTCTTGGAAAACACGCTTCTACCTTAATGCAGAAAAAAGACCCACCGAGCCCCAAGTGTGCCGTATCTCCTAGCAGCACTTCTGCTGGTTGGTGAAATCCCTGGGAGAAGAAAGAGTGGGGAGCAGTATTTGGGTGCTCCTCAGAGCCGCGGTGTGGTTGCATCTCGGATTTACCGCAGCAGAAACACTCGGTACACAGTTATTCACCGTTCACAATCAAAGCATCAGCGTGCAGTTTCGCTTTGCAGAGCAATTTGGGGGGGGGGGGGGAGGTGTATTAAAAACACTAAGCAATTGGCTTTTTATGGTAGCGTGATTTTGGTAGTAATTCAAGCCCTGAGTGAGCAAGTGTTGGGGGGCAGTGGAGCCTGAGTCCCCCCTGCCACTGACAGGTCAATGTGCCGTGACATCTGCTCTGTGTTAGGACTATTATTAAACATAATTATTCTTTCTGCAGAAACTGCTCAGTTTTTGGCCTTTTTTTGAAGGTCTTACAATATTTTTCCAAACACAGGGCCACCTTCGCGCATTCCCCGCTAGTGGTGACTCCTGCCAGCAGGGCGAGAAGTGGGGAAACTGAGGCACGAACCCAGCACCCTCGTTTCCAGCAGTGTCTGCCCTTTCCTTAGGGTCTCCAGTCCCCAGTTTTGCAGATGCCCTAGGGAGTTGTGCCCCCCACAAACCTCGCCTCTGGATCCATTTGGGGATCCATAGACAAACCTCGGGGTCAGTTTGGGGATCTGCAGGTCAGTTTGGGGATCTGCAGGCCACTGCCAGCTGCCCCCCATCTTTATGAGCACTTGCTTTGGTTAATGAGTAGCCACAGAGTATCTGTCATATTTTCAGCCCAGTGCTCTGAATTAATTTAACTGTGGTATTTGCTTTTCATTGAAACATAACGCAATTCAGTATCGTATGTTTAAAAAAGAAATTAATTTACAGGAGGGTTTTTTTTTTTCAAGGTTTAACAACTGTGCAAGAGATGCATATCTCATTGAATTACCATAGCATTTCAATAAACATATATATTTCTAATCAATTGCTATTTAACATATGTCAGGTCTTTTATTATAGTTAGATGCATCTGGTTGCAATAATTATTGTATAATTATTGTATGCAAATTAAATGTCAATTATTTAAAGCATATTTACAAAGAGCAACAAAACCTATAAATCTGCTACGGAGTCGTTAACCTCAGCAAACACGTTTTAAATAATCAGCCGGTGTCGCTGTGGCGTACAGTAGCTGTCTCATTATATCTCCATTAAACCCATGGAGACAATTCATTTAAAGTGTGACCAAATTATTGGGTATATAGGGTAATTAGGTGCTCGCTTGCACCCCAGGTCCACTGTGAAAACTGATCTCTCTGCCCTGCATGTCCCTGAGGTGGGGACGGCAGCAAACGGGGAGAGCGGTCCCATGTGAGCTGATTCAGACTGGGCTTTTATTTTTATTATTTTAATTTTTTTTTTTGTTTTCCCCCCTTCCTCAGCCCCTCATGCAATGGGGAGCGTGCACCACCACCGGCCCGGGGGAAGAAGAAGAAGAAGAAATCCAGCCGCAAGAAGCGAAGGAGGTGAGGGTGGCCATGGAGGCGTGTGGGACGGGCAGCCCTTGGCTGCGTGAGGGGGAAAAAGCCAGTGTAAAATGGAGGCTGGATACCCTATGGGGAGGTGCGAGGGGCTGGGGGTTTCCACAGGCTCAGGGAGGCCATGCCATTTTCTTGCCCTCCCTTCATGGTGGCAGAAGCTGGGCTGGGGTTTGCCCAGGAGCCCCTGGACCCTCTCCACCCTGGGGGGATGCCACTGGTGGCAGGGTAAGGGTTGGGGTGGCCAGGGAGGGCTGTGGGGAGCCCTGCGGTCCCTAACACCCCTCTGCCTCCTCAGGTCTCCCTCCTACAGCCCCTCACCTGTGAAGAAGAAGAAGAAGAAAAGCTCCAAGAAGCGAAAAAGAAACAGGTATTTTTCCCTTGAAAATGTAATTCTCTGTTGGCAGCAGCTGTTGCTGGGGTTTGGACGAGGGGTGGGAGGCATTGCTGCTGTCAAGCAACCGGTCGAACCCCGTGCCAAGAGGCAGAGAGGTGTCACACTCCTGACTCCTAGTGATGGCCACCCAGAGGGCAGGGTCCCACCGGGGGGTGAAAGCCGGACAGTCGAGGAGGGGCAGAGCCGGCATCGCTCTGGGCAAGGAGGGAATGAAACGGGGTGCACACCCAGGGCAAACAGATAAATATGAGCTGTCGGGGCATGGGGGAAGAGAGACAGATGAGCCAAATCAGTGCGAGGTCTGCAGAGCCTCTGCCTGCTCCTTGACCTTGCTGTCCAATTTCTCATCCTCTGGGATGCTGATGAGATTGGTGCTCAGGGCTTGCTCCGATCCTTTTCCCTTCTCCCCCAGCCTGCAGAAAGCATACGTGTTTGGACCAGGACAAGGCTTGGACCAGGTCCCTGCATCCACATCTCGGCCTTCCCTCCCAGCTGTGGGTGACTGCCTCCACATTCCTCTTCTGAAGCCCATTTTTAATTCAAAGGGCACAATTAAATTTTAAAGCAGCACATATTTCACTGTTTTCTCTCAACCATTAAACCAATATTTGAAGAGAGCAGTGGATGCAATCTCCCTTGGAAAGTTCATGTATTTATAATATATTGAACCAAAGAGAGAAGCTACCGAAAATGGATAACAGGGTGAAAAGCTGAGCCTGAATCTTAAAGAAAAGGGAGGGAGGAGGAGAGACAAGGATATAGAAACTCCTTTAAAATATTTCCTTCCCAAAAATGCTCTTTTATGGATGCCATCTCCCAACAGCAGTCCATGGCCAGATGCTCCTTGGCTTTGAACCTTTAGTACCCATCTGTGCCAAGGGTAAGCTGAGGATGGTCCCAAAAGGCAGCATGATAAGCCATTAGGCATTAGTGACCCATGGAGGTTGTTTCCAGACACCTGGTACCACTTCAACCACAGATCCCAACTCTAGGCAGGACTTCAGGCCATGTCTTCTGCAGGATTTTGTGCTCCAAGCTGAGATGGGACGCAGCAGGCTGTGCAGTGTACTGGGGCCAGGCCTCGCCGCAAGGAAGAGCG